CATTGTTAATGAAAATAATGAAAAGGTTAATAAAAAAAAAAAATTTTTCTCTAAAAATGTAATTTAATATCTCTTTTTTCGAAATAAATCGCCGCAAAATAATATTTATAGCATTAAGTATTTTTTATTACTTTTTTTAGACGCGACTGAATCTTTTGTCAATAGTGAAGCTTCAGTCGCGAATAACTTTCTATCTATCATAGATATGGAAAAAAGTGTTTAGTACTTTTTTTTATTAAAATTAAATTCTAAACACCTTTTATTTAAAACATTTTTTCATATCTATCATAGAAATCGAGAAATTCGCGATGGGGGGCGGTTTTTCGCGATTTACTCCCCCCCTATGCGTGCCAAACAATTTTAACCTACACCATTGTGTTTCTCGCGAAATTTCCGATCCAGTCATCTATAAATGATCAATTTGGCCGCAGCAAACCAAAATTATCCCATTTCCCTCATTTGACTGGACTACAAGACAAAACAAGACTTACGATTTTAAGAGATGTTTCACGACGATCTGATCTCGATCTTACTTTTTCGACAACTAACTGATGCATCAAACTTTACGTATTTATTTAGTTGAATGTGACATAATTTGAAGTCCCTGCTTCAGGCGCGCACAGGTCCCTTTACATGGTCTTTCCCTTTTTGGAAAGCTAACGCTGTTATTACGTCACGTACTTTTTTTTAAAAATTTTATTACTTTTCGCCACGAGGGTTTTCTAAAAGCAATAAAATATCTTAAAGATGATCTCCTGTACGATTCTTCGAAACCCTTTCTATTTTAACGAAATCGCAAGAAAACTCATAGAAAAATAACTTAAGTAATAATCGTTAACCTCAATCCTTAAGTTTTATTACTATTCATTTGTAGCTTTTTTTAAAATATATCATAAATAATTATGTGAAATAATTGGAATACATTCAGACATTACAAGTGTAATATATTATTCTCATAAATTCTTATAAAACAAGTAATATTTCTAATGTAACTTTCTGAATCATTCTTCTAACTTTATAAGAATCTATAAGCAGGTTTTCTATCGTTTTCTATTGGAATTCATAAGAAATTTTTAATAATATTCTGATCGCTTTGTATAAGAGTCTATGAGCGCGTTTTGTATCGTTTTTTATCGGAATTTATCTTCTTACCAGAAAAAAAATTAGTTTAAACAAAAGGAAATTTTGATTCGCTCTAAACGTTTTTTATTTATACGAATTTGTTGTTAAAATATACACCTGTAGTGAAATTTATTAGTTACTTTATCCGAAAATATCCTGCTGATGATGAGATTCGATCCTGGCATCCTCGAGTCCACAGTCCAGTACGCTGCCGACTGCGCTACTTTAAAACATGGAGACATGACATTCACCTAATCTATTTGAGTTAAAAATTTAGAACAATTTAAATATTAATTAAGTTTACTCCCTAGGAAGTATTTCAAAGCAGAAATAGGATAATTGTCATTTGTAGAGATATGACAGTTAAAATGCAACTTAGAAATTATATTTTTATCTCAATGTCATATAATAGGGTTTTATTTGATTTAAAAGAAGAACATTAGAGAAATTCCTGTCAGAAATCAATGAATTCTTATCGGTAATCAATTTCTTCAGTATATCAACTATTTTTTTAAGAAACAATCAATCCGTTTGTCATAAGATCCTATGAGAATTTATGAGCAAGTGACGTTGTTTGATCCTCCATCTGATTCTTTACGATTGTATTGTCGAAGTTAACGAATAATTAACTATAAGTAGTAGATTCATCATCGAGTCCAAGTGCAAAGTATCACCTGGGGAACTCAATATCATTAAACCAAGTAAAGTGAATTTTTTATTCAGGTTCTTGCGAACCACTAAATTGATAATTGTAATGATTTTATAATAATCAAACCTCGAACTCTAGTTATAAATTACAAGTTATAAGCCAAGTGAAAGAATATCTTACATAAGAATAAAGAAGTGTCTTCAAACCTAACCATCAGTGTCTATTGATATTTGTCTACAATATTTCTGACTTTTCTGGCCCTTATTGAGAACCATCAAGGAAAAAGAGTAAGCATGATAGTTTCTTTTCTGAGTCCCCTTTTTTAGGTAGGTATAAATTTTGTGTATTGAAGTCAGATCTTAATTATTTCCTTTTTTCCCCTTCCATATTCAACACCTCGCACGATAAACTGCGTAGAACCGCCACTCCCGGTTAAGATCACAACGAATCCCTAAATCCAAATTAAATAAAGGGAACGACTTTTCGTACCCTGAAACCTACTGTTAGTCCGAGCGCTCCCTTCACGAAAGCGCGCTACCCTTTGTCCCTAATTTTGGGTCTTTAAATAATTATTAATTTAAATTATTAAATTACATAAACTCGGACATAACAGAGCAAATGTTATCAAATGGAAAAAGAACTTATTGGTAAATAATTTTCATTAATATATCAACCAGTGAAATCACGAACCTAGAGAATTCAGAACTTTCCTATTGACACAACCGGATAGGATTATAATGATTTTAACAAAAAGTTAGCGATTTTATAGAAAATAAAGAGTTTCTATAGAAAATGAAAATAGAGATTTGAATAAGAAATTGATCGATTCAATAAGATAATCTGACTTAAAACATTTATCTTCATTTCTAAATGCTACAAAAGAATTTAGCATTATTTAATAGGTTAAACTCCTCCAACACCCAATAGTAAATACCTACTGCAAAGCAAAATCCTAGTAGAAAATATTGTGATGAGAAAATATTCTCTAAGTCACATTTTCATGCTTGATAAATTCATGGTAATGGTCCCATAGTTTCTTATAGGAATAGTTATATATTGACGAAATTATTTACCAATAAGTCCTTATTCAATCTGATAACATTTTTTCTCCTGTCATCGTATACAATCGGACGGAGATTTAAACGGCGTCATCATCTAATAAATTCTTATAGGATCTTGTGAGTAATGGTCCAATAATTTCTTATAAATCAATTCAGAAATTAAAAATTGCAAATATTATTTGCTCATTGCTTCTTATAAAGTCTAATAGTATTTGTTCTTTCAAAATCCTATTGCACTGGACAGAAGGAAAAGTTATCACTTTCACTAATTGATTCTTATTGCATCTTGTAATATCTTTTTGATACATTATTATGAAACGTATTCAGAAATAAACGAATATTATTTACCTCTCATTTCTTATTAAAACTTTTTTGTTTTTCCTATTCATTTTTACATATACTTATAAAATTAACCAAAAGTTTTTTCACTCTTATCAATTCTGATTAATAGAGACTTATACACCGCTTCTTGTTCATTCTGGTAAGACTGAATCGTAAAATTGAAATGTATGATTTTCCTATTTGTTCTTATAGTGTCTTATACGATGCTTCTCAATGATTCTCATTGAAATGGACGATAAATTAAAAAATATTATTTTCCTATACGTTCTCATTAGGACGTATAAGGTTGACGTCCTATCCATTGTCTATCATTCTCGTATCATAGTTTTAAATTTTTGTACCTCCTGTAAGTTCTGGTTCGTTCTTATAATTTTTTTATGAGAACCGCGCTACTTTCTGATAGAACTTTGAAATGTTCTGGCGGGAATTGAGATGTTCGCGTCAGAACGAGGAAGGAAAAGGGGTAGAGTGAAGTACAGAGGGAAACTTGGTTATGGGAATCTAAGGGAATAAGAGAGAGAAGGATATATGGTATGAAAGTATGACTGTATTTTAGGGTGGAATAATTCGAAGTATCGGACTATTTATAGGTAACCAAGCTATGGATAGTTTATGTGAAGCATAAACTATAATAGTTAATGAACTATTGTACCGACTATCTTTTCCTCTTTTCTGATCTCTAAATAGTTAATGGTTTTTGGTTCTTATATACCAGGAAGTCGGGCTGGAATATATCTCCTCGAAATGTATGTGACCTTGAAAATATAGCTGCGCATATATGTATATGTATTCTCACTTACGTGACCGTGGCCTGTGGAAATTCGGCTCAAGTAAGTCAATTACGCAGCAGAGATGCATACAAAATAAAGAGAATCAAGACAATAGATCGAATTCTTGGACTTCCATTTAGATCAAGACAATGAGTACAAGTGAGTTTTTCGGTAGAGGACCTCCGTCCTCCTGGAAATAAGAGTCACGTGCCTTAGGGACACCTCCAATCCCTGAAAAATATGCAAATGAGGTACGCGTAGGGATCGACGAGATAATTGCGTCTACACGTATGTTATAGAAAAGAACTTTATTATACAGGTAACTTTTTATTACACGTACAGGATTATCTCCCCACATCCTGAAGCGAGCTAGCGTATTATTATTATTATGCTTCCAGAGTGGAATGTTATATGTACCTTTAGACTATGACCCGAGTACGGGACGGGAACGCAACAATTTAAGTAATAATTTAAGAGGCTATTGAAGACGCTCTCGTCAGTCAAACAGTCTCATACCATTTGAGGTGGTGCCTATTGTGACTCCACCTGTTATGAAAATGAAAAAATAAAAACATATAAGGGTATACTATCGACTTTAAAAAATGCTAAAAATCATTCAATAAAGACTTTCAAAAAGCCTGTATGACTTTTTATCCACTTGCAGCTCTCCTTAATTACTGATTTTTCAATAATTAAGAGTTAATGAGGGTAAGATTTTACAAGTTGAAATTTTTTTTTGTATCTGTAATGAACTAATCGTTAGCTAGTTTGTTAATTTTTACAATACTCCATTGCAAGAATGTATATTATAATTAATTTTCGAAACTTCCAGTAGTGTATTATAGACTTACGACTCTACTCAATTATTGTTGGCATAATAATAAAGATTTACGGAGTGTAAGATTTACTATAAAAGATTCTTAACAAATTTCTCTCTTATTCATACGTATAAAAATTCTACTAAAGTTCAATGATTGTTTTATAAACTTACGACTCTACCCAATTATCAGGACTTATAAAGCGTAAGATTTATTATAAAAAGAACAATACGTAATAAACCTTATATAATATTTATAATAAGTGCAAAGAAAAATATCCAATATCACATGACACAGTAAATAATAACTGTCAAACTTTTCTTCTATTTTGTATAAGGGGTAAATACTCCTTTTACATAATGTTATCACAATTTGGTCATAATACATCACAACAGTATAAAAACGCTCCACTTCCACTATTACTGTCAGAACCATGTAAGCACCCATAAGCTTATGAAACATTGTTTTAATACGTAGCATAAAAATCGAGTGTGTAGCTAGTATCAGGTTTTCCAGAAAGATGAGCTCGAGGGTTGCAAGAACATACTCGTTTCATCACACTGACAGATAAATATTAAGAAATTTGACTTTTTTTTCTACCTGTTCTATCATCAGTTTCTCCCAAGTTTTGTGGATACTGTTGAGCGCTGTCGAGTGACAATTTATTTCCTTCGAGACTTAGTTTAGCTGTGCTTCACGTAAACTGCTGAAGAAAATAGCCATTATTAGATGTACTTTTAATCAATAAAAATTAGAAACTTCAATAGACACAAAGTATTAAATTGTATTTAAGCTCCTGGAATCATTTATTCAACCTGTAATTTAAGTATACTATTACTTACTGTACGTGTTAATGGGAATGTTATGTTAATACTATCATCATAGCTGCCGTTCCAATCATCAGTATTCAATGAGAATAATTTAGCACTTTTGAAGCCATTTGACTTAATTCATTCAGCCTAAAAATAATGAAATTAATTAATTTTATTAAATAAAGTGAAAATCAACTATACTTCATTAATTCGTTTAAAATGATAAAATTAAATAAAAAAATGATGTGAAGAAACAGAACTCAAAAACGTTCCTCAAAAGTATACTTACTTGTTCTAGAACACTAACGCGATCATCGTAAAAAATCCATTCATCGTATCTATAAGAATAAAGTGGTCGACTATCTTCATCAAATACCTTATTAGCGCCTATGCTTATAAACCAAAAAATTGTTGGATAACTGGAGCCATAATTTCATGATTCAGTGACTTATAAAGTTGATAAGAATGACCATAAAGTGGAATACCAATGACAATTTTTTCCTTAGGCATTCCCTTAGACACCCAATACATTGCTGAATAATTAAAATTTAATTTAGCTAAATATCCTGTTTCTTGTCTTCCTGGATATAATGGTACAGTTTCTCCAAAGTTTTTGTGGTTGCTGTTGAGTGCTGTCGAGTAACAATTCATTTCCCTCTAAACTTAGTCTAGCTGTGCTTCACTCAAGCTGTTGAAGAAAATAGCTATTATCGGTCGTACTTTTAATCAATAAAAATTAGAAACTTCAATAAACATAAAGATATATAATTTAGACTGGTAACTAAAGAACTTCCCTACCTTTCTGGATAAATTATAAATTATTAATTTCTGTACAGGTATTTTTGAAGCACCGTAGATAATCATCAAACAATTATTACATTAAATATTATATAATTAAAGATTGATGAGTATTGTTTATCAATAGCTTAATTTTATAACCTTATTCAAAATCATTTATTACATACATGTATGTTTATTAAATCTTTCGACTTACCTTAGGTAAATCGAAAAGACTTTGCTCTCGAACAAAGCAATAGATCCTTCAATAAAGTTCTATGATTGTTTTATTAACAAAGGTCATAAATTTTCTATTTTCTGAGATAAAAGTCAAATAATTTATAATGTGTAAATACATCAATTATAACCTCAATTACGAATGATATTACATGACATGGCTTATGACGGCATTGATGCTATTGATGCGCCTCTACAGGAAAACGCAGGTACTTGTATTTTTAAAAATTTGAGTCCTTCGCTCGTTGAGGAAAAATAATAGCTGATGTTACGAGGTTAAGGTTTTCCTTCCGTACATCTCATATCTGAACTCCAAAAGCGGTGTTCGGATAATTATTACATGAAAAAAATGTTGTCCCGACACATTAATTTTATTCGATTCGGAAATATAAAATAAGTCAATTGAACCTAACGAGTAGAGACAATTTGAAAAGAAGTTAGTTATTTTTTCTACATTTAATTTAAAAAAAAAATAATTCCAGTAAAAATATACAAAAACGAACGATGAATAATATATCAATGGAATATAATGAACAACTATTGTTTTCAACAAATGTAACTTGAATTTTTTTTTAATAAATATTCATTCTACGATTTTTACAGATTTCTAGCGATTACTTTAGATGCATTATATTTCCTTTATCATTAAGATCACCAAAGATCGTCGTAAATGTGGCGTCACTTCACCTGATGCACATACATCTATTTGAATCAGTATTTTGTACTTCTTTTGAAATATTTAAAAAAATTTAGCCACTTTAGTTTTCCAGACTTATCAATTAAATATTCATTCATTGACACAAATTCTCCTGGAGAGCGTGATATCTTGCTGCATTTATCTATTTAGTGACAATATAGGTTCAGTTACAATCTATAATTTTTACAAACCAAACCAAGTTCCACCATCGCTATCCCACTGGAAGGTCCTATTCTGCTGCACGTATAGCGGAAAAGCTCGTTTTGAAGAATTTTACGTGATATTTTTTAAATAATTATTAATCTTCTATCAAAAATTTGCGAGATTAAATATAACTTTTATTGAAATAGTAAAATAATTTCTTTTTACACACATAAATAATTGTTATATTGGTACTTCTTTAATAATAATATCCTGGTGTCGAATAATTCGCCGATGACAGATGGTACGAAGAAAGAGAAGGAGGTTGTGTCCGTGGAACAGGAGGATAATAAAATCGTTGATTTTCCAATACTTTTATCCGCTGAAACAATATTAAATTTTATTGCCTTATATCTTTTTCCGTAAGTTGTAATTATTTTCGTTTTGAGTAAAGAAAGCATCAGATTTATTTATTTAAAAAAAATTGTTTAAAATCGTTAGTGTACAAACAGATCCACGCTATTTTTTTGACAGTATTAATTACATAGAGAAACTACAATATTTTTACCTGGGTGTTTGCCACTCAAATAAGAATGATTTTCCTTTATTCCTTCTTTAATAATAAATTAAAAATGAAATTATCAGCTTACCTCTTCAGCGACGGTGAGTCTTTTCTGCATTTAGTCTACTTTAGCGACTAACCCACGAACAATTTTTGAAGTTCTAATACTTTCTCGTGATTGTTTTGCTCCATGAGTCCCTTCTGATGGATGTGAATCTAATACTCCGGCATAACCAGATGACATACTTTGCTTTCTGCTGCATAGGCGGACGAAATGCAACTGTTTCCTGATGACAAGAACATGTAGGTGCTTCGTTCACTTCGTGTATATATATAAAAAATTGTTAACTGCTGAAGACTTGGGTTAGAAAATGTAGTACTAGAGGAAGTAATACAAAGACCATATAAAAACCTGTCATATGGGTGGGGCTTAGGAGGAATGTTGGAAATATGAATTTACTCCGCATGATTTTATATTGCCATATTATCAAAAAATATGATTAAAAGCAGTCAAAAGTAAAACAGTATAATTTATGTACAATAAAAGAATGTAACCAGTATTTTAGTTTCTCCATATACAAAAGAAATATTTGGGTAATTTTATACTATCGCGGTCCCCTCGTTTTTTGGCTCTAGAAAATTGAAAAATCATCGAATGTCTCCCAAAATCACCGTTTTTTGTTAAAAATCGTATATAACATTTCAACACGCAGTTAGATCATACTTATTTTCTTGATCTATCAATCAAAAAATCATTTCATTAAAATATGTCTCTGTTTCTTTTATATGTGTTAATACTCCGTCAACGCCAGCGTTTGCATGTTGACATGTATTACAATTACTAAAATAGTGGTGGGGCGATATAAGTTCGAGCAGAACCGCGTGTAGTGGTCATGCAAGACAGTTCGATAATACGTAGAGATAGTATCTTTTCCGATTGCAACAAGTGTACACGTGTTGTCTCGGTCATTATTAACCTTTTTATACAATTAGTGAATTTATTAATGCGTGAGTGAATAGTTAGTTTTACATTAGTGATTTCATAAGTGTGGTTTTTACAATGGGTCAACAAAAGAATAAGAGGATATCCCACTCAAGGAGGAGAGTATATGTGAAAAAGTAAGTATTATTGTACATATTCTTCATGAGAAAAGTTATTAGATTACTTAATAATAAAATTATAGACTAATTCATACTATTTCCTTTAATTTAAAAATTTCCGAAGCGAGATTCTTTTTGTATTTTGTTTTATGAAATGACATTTTCTACTTATGTACTAAGCTTATTCTCTCATTATTAAGAATTGATTTGTTAAATGGTGAGGCTAACATGATAAGACATTGAGAACATTGTCATTCAATTATTATTTAACATATAAGAGTGTCAACATCAAATTCTTTATATCTAGGAAACACAGAGGGAAACAGTGTGTTGTTCTGTGTTTTTGTTCCAGTGGTTTAAATTTAATATCTGTGGAATGTTAATTTTTAACTTATTTTTTCTAGACTCAGCATTACAAATTGAGTTATTTGAAAATAACTATTTGTTTTTCTTTAACCCACAAGAGAAAACAAGAATTCCGTTTGTTGCTATTTTTTGGTAACCAAAATCTAGAGTAGCGGTAGATACTCGGCGCCAAGTGCACATTCACCTTTTCCCTCTCTCTCTCTTTCTCACTAGCGCGCTCTTTCCCCCATGAGCGCCGAGGCTACCGACTATACTCTATACACGAAAAATTTTGTGTGGCGTCATCAACGCATCTTTATATGCAAATATCTTTATAATTGCTACATATTATGATTTCATATTTAATAGGTAGTTATCTTATATCTTATATCTTATATCTTATATCTTATATGAGAATTTTTTTATTAATTATTAACGGAGTTATAAATAAGCCACGCCCCTAACAGCGATATTTCTGCTATTCAAGATTTTCTCGCTCGCTGTTTCACTGTACTTAATCAAGCGCTCTATCATGTGTTCTCGCTTACTGAATGTGTCTTTTGTCACTTTCTTTCACATTGGGCTCCCTACAGTGCCCTCTTTCTTGCGTTACGTATTGTTATCACTCTTTTTCACGTTAACCTCGTAATATTTCCTTCTCTCTTGCCTAACCAAGAGACATCTATGTTCTGAATAATGAAAAATGTTTCCCGCGTGTTGTATATCGATTTAAATAAACTTTTTTAGGAATTATTGGTAAAGAAAAGTTTCAAATGATCAATGAAAAATAAGTGTTTGTCGAATAATAACAACAAAAGAATATGATTAAAAAAGTAAAAAGTGTTTCCCGCGTGTTGCATATCGATTTTAATAGATTTCATTTGGAATCATGGATAAAATGATGTTCTAGATGATTGAAAGAAAAAACAATTATAACAAATATCCAAAATTGTTATAAATTTTGTGGTTGGCTTTAAATAATGTCTTATTGAAATATCATATTTTTCACTATTTTTATGAGACATTATTTCATTGAACTTTTTTCTATTTCAGAAAAATAAAAAACTGGCTTGGCAAAGTCATAAAAGAGCAGAAAATACACCTATGTAGCATAGGAACTACCTAGAATTGTTATAAAGTTTTAAATTTTCGAAATAAATAAAAATAAAAATTAAATAATTTTTAACGTTGTTGTCTTGAGACAGCGCGCTCGGAGAGCGCGCGTTGTTTCTAGTAACCTTATTGAAAAAAAAAATTAATTTGGAAGAAGAAAATTTTTTTGGAAGTTTGGTGACTGTCTCCAAAATTCCACTTTGATCGCACGAAATGTTACCAAACTTCCACTTGCACGTACATATACTACTATATGAATTTCTGGTGTCTATCTGTCTGTTCGGGGTAATCTCCAAAACGGTTAATTCGATTGCGACCAAATTTAACAGATATGTAGAGGGGGTTTGTTCGGAAAGTTATATGCTACTTTTTGTTAATGTGAATTGTTTATAACAATTAAATTTGTTATAAACAATTGAAAACAGGATTTATTCAATATATTTGAGATCTTTCAACGGGAAATTTTTTCTTTTACTGAAACAATGTTATCCACTGTGTAAAATGGATATAAACATACTTCTTTTGTTCGTAACATACCATTTGTTGTAAAAGAACAGAAATTGAGTTTTACGATCATTTCCTTTCATCATCAGTAAGAGTGCTCCTGTAACTGGAGGAGTTACCCAGTGAACACAGAATGTAAATGTGATATAACAAGGAAGTAACAAGTTACGTAACTTTTTTGACTTATAGGTGACATAACAATTATATCAAATTTGAGTTTTATGATATGTACCTAATTGTTACTTCTATGTTACGTATCAGTTACATGGCATTGTGATTGTAGTATAACGTCACAATTGTGACGGCTATATTATGTCCTCGTGACCAAACAATGTTACTTTGAAAAAAACGTCACAACAGTGACTCTTATGTTATGTTTATGTTATGTCGCAGCCGTTTCCTCAGTGTAACATAGCATCAATAAAATGAAATAACATCAGTGTAATGTAACTTACGTTACATATGTTATATAGACACTGCGATACATGAATTATTTTGCATTGGATATAATATTTTGTTACATAACTTAGTGATGTTGCTTATATGTTTATGTATATGCTTATTTGTAATACATAACTTATGCTACACAAATGGAACATTAATGGTACATAACTTTGTTACAAGTGTACTATGGTAAATGTATACATGGATGTTATTA